TTCACCAAAGGCAGGCAAGAAAAATGAGTTGTAAAAAACAAATTCCATTTGTTTTCCCTCTCTGGTCCTTGGTTTGTGCTCTTTCCATTTTGCCTGGAAAAGCCAGAATCTATTAGCCAAGTGTGATTCTTCATCTTTTGTCACCTTTTCCTGTGCTCTGTGCCCTTTGGCTTTGCATATGGATTTCTCTGGCCTTCAGAGACATTGCTGAACAGAGTAAACAAGTGTTTCCCAGAGCCAAGAGTCCTGGCCTCACCTGGCCTCTAGAGAGTGTACATATAGTCTTTTCATTATAGTATCTTCTGCCTGGCACTCAGTTGGGAAACCTAAGTGGCTCCTGAAGACAGGCCCTTTATATCACACCGTCATCATGCTAAAGAAGTGAACCACTGCCTACCTTTTGACTTTCAGAGCAAAAGCAATCTGCCTGCCTGATTAGATGTCAACTTCATTGCCCACTTGTAACTTGAAGTTCACAAGCTCAGTTTCTTTTCAGCAAATGGGCACCTCAAATGTGAACCATGGGCAGATTCAACTAGAATGAAGAGAGCAAGACACTGTGCTTATGTAATCATTATACCTTATTTTAAAATTTTTCGAAGATGGATTATCAAGCAGGATGAAGCAGATCAACAAGTTTCCCTTTTGAGAAGTTAGGAGATCTATTTTTAGTCATTTCTGCCTTGCCAAAACTGATCCCAGGCTTCCAAGGATCTGAAGTGCTGCATGGTGCTGCCCCCAACTGGTTCTTTTTGGTGCTTATATTATTACACATCAGAAAATATATCACATTTAAATTTTTTGAAGCACCACATATTTTATTTAATTATTTTTTTGAGACAGAGTCTCACTCTGTTGCCCAGGTTGGAGTGCACTGATGTGATCTCTGCTCGCTGCAACCTCTGCCTCCCAGGTTCAATCGATTCTCATGCCACAGCCTCCTGAGTAGCTGGGATCACAGGTATCTGCCAACACCCCAAGCTTATTTTTGTATTTTTAGTAATGATTGGGTTTTGCCATATTGACCAGGCTGGTCTCAAACTCCTGGCCTCAGGCAACCCACCTGCCTTGGCCTCCCAAAGTGCTAGGATTACAGGTGTGAGCCATCGCACTTGGCCAACTTTCACATTTTTTGTTCAAGACAGGTCTCACTCTGTCTCAGGTGATTGCAGGTAGATCACCTGACATCAGGAGTTCAAGACCACCCTGGTCAACATGGTGAAAGCCTGTCTCTGCTAAAAATACAAAAACTTAGCTGAGCATAGTGGCACACACCTGTAATCCTAGCTACTCTGGAGGCTGAGATAGGAGAATCTCTTGAACCCTGGAGATGGAGGTTGCAGTGAACCAAGATTGTGCCAGTGCACTCTAGCCTGGGTGACAGAGTAACACTTTGTCTCAAAAAAAAAAAAAAAAAAGAATTTTAGGCTTAGAGGAATTTCCCTCTTTTTCTCCCTTGGGAGGAGGAGGGATATAATGCATCATATAAGGTTTGAGTAAATTCATTTTTGAGCTCCTGTGCTACATGAGGCTCTCTGACTCAGATGCTATGGTCTCTAATTCGCTAATGCAACATAGTGGTAAAGAGTATGAACTCTGGAGCCAGACTGCAGATTCTGCCAGTCTCTGCTACTTAATAAGTAGATAACCTTAAGCAAGTTGCTTAATCTCTAAATGCCTTCTCTAAAATAAGAGTAATATTTTATTGTCTTTTTGTAGTCCATAGCACAATGATTGGATTTTCATGTGCACATGTGACGTATACTACCCTCAAACCTTGTTAATGTCTGCATGTTGCCTCATATGAAAAAAAAGAAAAAAAGGAAAAAGTAACAGTATATTTACCTTATAAGGGTTATTGTGCAGATTAAATTAGATAATATATGCAAAGTTCTCAGAACAGTGCCTGACACAATTTAAGTACTATATAAATATCAGCTGCCTTTATTATCTATAAATAAATATATTCACTTTTTTTTTTGAGACTGAGTCTCACGCTGTTTCCCAGTCTTGAATCTAGTGGCACAATCATGGCTCACTACAGACTTGACCTCCTGAGGTTCAAGTGATCATCCCAAAACCTCAACCTCTTGAGTAAGTAGCTTGGACTACAGGTTCACACCACCATGCCCAGCTAATTTTTGTTTTTTTGTTTCTTTTTTTGTTGTTGTTGAGATGGAGTTTTGCTCTTGTTGCCCAGGCTGGAGTGCAATGGTGCACTCGGCTCACTGCAACCTCTGCCTCCTGGGTTCAAGCGATTCTCCTGCCTCATCCTCCCGAGTAGCTGGGATTACAGGCATGCACCACCATGCCCAGCTAATTTTGTATTTTTCATAGAGATGGGCTTTCTCCATGTTCGTCAGGCTGGTCTCGAACTCCCAACCTCAGGTGATCTGCCCACCTCAGCCTCCCAAAGTGCTGGGATTACAGGCTTGAGCCACTGTACCCGGCCAATTTTTGTATTTTTTGTAGGGATAGGATTTTGCCGCATAGCCCGGGCTGGTCTCCAGCTCCTGGACTCAAGCGGTTCTCCTACCTTGGCCTCCTAAACAGGAATGAGCCACTCTGCCCACCCTTAGTTCACTCTTTTGTTTTTGTTTTTAATAATAAAGCAAAGCTGCCTTTCATGGGTATATAGGAATGATGAAGAACAGCCAGACTATCTTCACAAAGTTTCTCCGTATTCTTATCTGCTACTCCCTCCTCTGTTCACTTTAGTCTTACTCTTGTCTTAACCACTTTACTGAAACTGCTGTGTCCAAGGTTGCCAATTATTTCCTGGTTGCAAATTCAGTGGACACCTTTCAAGCTCATCTTCCTCATTCATAGTTTTGATACAGTTGGTCGTTTCCTTTGTAGAATGTTTTCCTTCTGACGTTTAGAATGCCATTGTACTTCTGAACACTTATTTATTTATTTTTTTTTTTGAGACGGAGTTTCACTCTTGTTGCCCAGGCTGGAGTACAATGGCACAATCTCTGCTCACTGCAACCTCCACCTCCCAGGTTCACGTGATTCTCCTGCCTCAGCCTCCCAAATAGTAGCTGGGATTACAGATGCCTGCCACCAGGCCTGACTAATTTTTTTGTATTTTTAGTAGAGTCAAGGTTTCACCATGTTGGCTAGGGTGGTCTCAAACTCCTGACATCAAGTGATCTACCCACCTTGGCCTCCCAAAGTGCTAGGATTACAGGCATGAGCCACCACTCCCAGTTGGCCTTCTGAACATTTAGAATGTTCTCCAGTTGACATTCTTGCCTGTTCCTTGGGATTCTGTTAATTTCCCATCTTATAAGTTAAACTCTGGGCATGCATGACCTTGGAATGCATGACTGCTTCAGCTCAACGTTTTTGCCTCCTAAACATTAGTCTCTCACTTAGACTTTGTGTGTGTGTGTGTGTGTGTGTGTGTGTGTGTGTGTGTGTGTGTGTGGTGGAGTTTCTGGTTGCCGAAGCTGGAGTGCAATGGCATGAATCTCATCTCAGTGCAACCTCCACCTCTTGGGTTCAAGCGATTCTCCTGCCTCAGCCTCCTGAGTAACTGGGATTACAGGCACCCGCCATCATGCCCAGCTAATTTTGTATTTTTAGTAGAGATAGGGTTTTGCCATGTTAGTCAGTTTGGTCTTGAACTCCCGACCTTAGGTGATCCTCCCACCTCAGCCTCCTAAAGTGCTGGGATTACAGATGTGAGCCACCATGCCTGGCCAGACTTTGTTCTTAAACTTCAAACTGACTCTATTTAAAACATTGCCACCTTGGTTGTCCAACAAGCACCTGCATCTTTAATAATTTAACTTCTCCCGGCTGAACTTTCTGTTTTTAATTTATTTAAAGACAGGGTCTCACTCTGTCTGTCACCCAGGCTGGAGTGCATTGGCATGATCTTAGCTCACTGCAGCCTCAACCTCCCAGGCTCAAGTGATCTTCCCATGTAGCTAGGACTACAGGTGTGTACCATCACACATTTAGCTAATTCTGTTTATTTTTTGTAGATACTAAGTCTCTCATTATGCTGTTCAAGCTGGTCTGAACTCCTGAGCTGAAGCGATCCTCCTACCTCTCAAAATTCTAGGATTACAGACATGAGTCACCACACTTGGCCTGAACTCACTACCTTTTAACATTGCCTCTTCTTCTAAAAACCTGCTCCTCTCCTTTCTCTCTGAGTATTTAATAATAATAGCCAGGGACCAATAGCCTGTTGCCCTCATTCTCTAATCCAGGCAACTATCAAGTTTTTTTTTTAAACCCTGACATCTAAATGTATTTTAAATCTTGCCTTGTTCCAATGCCTCCACTATTGCCATGATTCAGATACCCTTCTCTCACCAAGATTATTGTAGTAATCTCCTATTTCTCTTTCTCTGTATTTTTCACCCTAATCTAACTATCATACCATTGCTAAAATAATATTTTCTTTAAAAAGCATATGTAGCCATGTGGGTCTCCTGCTTAAAATGCTTCTTTTGTTTCCTATAGACAGGATTAAGTTCACATATTTTAGCAAAACCTATCAGCTTTACTTTCTGACTTGCTGTAAATGCACTCTGGCCATATTGAAGTAAATTAAGTTCTAAATGCATCATGCACTTAACCTGTAACTTTGCATATGCTGCTCCCTCTATGTCCCTTTTTCCTGCTACTTCAGGTCATCCTATCCGATTCATTTCCTCTCTGCATCTTCCTCTGACATCCCTTGACAGTTAGTAGCTTTATCCTTGGCACACTGCATGGTGTTGTCCTACCTGCACATAACTATATTTTAACATTTATTATATAATATTGTTTGTCTATATCCCTTAATAGTTGTGATCTCCTTAAAGGAAAGTGTCATTGTGTGTAGCACCTACCATAGTAGCTTGGAGGCAGATTAAGCCCGCAGTAATTTAAATATATATACATAGTTTCTCTCTTCTAGGTGTTTAATCCCTAATGGTTTCACCACTAGACTAAGCATTTCTGATAAATGGTAGCTGGGTTTTCCTTCTGTTTTGCAGTATATCAACTCTGGGAACCTGGAACAGTTGCTAGACAGTAACCTGCATTTGCCTTGGACTGTGAGGGTAAAACTGGCCTATGACATAGCAGTGGGCCTCAGCTACCTTCACTTCAAAGGCATTTTTCATCGGGACCTCACATCTAAGGTATGAAGGCTTTACTTTCACAACTCATTGAGAGATGACATCCTTCTCTTTTGCCAAGAAAGCGGTGTTAGATTTAACATTTAATCACAGAGGACATAACTCATTACAGTTTATAATTAGTTCTTGGAAAGCCTACATCTTTTCTTTCTTTTTGTGAGACAGAGTCTCACTCTGTTGCCCAGGCTGGAGTGTTTCTGCCTCCTGGGTTCAAGGATTCTTATGCCTCAGCCTCCTGAGTAGCTGGGACTACAAGTGTGCATTACCACACTCAGCTAATTTTAGTAGAGGCAGAATTTTGCCATGTTGGCCAGGCTGGTCTTGATCTTCCGACTGCAAATAATCCACCTGCCAAAGTGCTGGGATTACAGGCGTGAGTCACTATACCCCACCATAAGCCCACATTTTCTTACAGCAGGTTCCTTTCAGTGCTGAGTGAGCCAACACATACATTTTTTTTTTTGAGACAGGGTCTTGCTCTGTCACTCAGGCTGGAGTGCAGTAGCATAATCTCGGCTCACTACAACCTCCACTCCATGGGCTCAAGCAGTTATCCTACCTCAGCCTCCTGAATAGCCGGGACAGCAGGGGCACACCACCGCGCCCGGCTGTATTTTTGTTTTATTTTTGAGATGGAGTTTTGCTGTTGTTGCCCAGGCTAGAGTGCAATGAGTGATCTTGGCTCACCTCAACCTCCGCCTCCCAGGTTCAAGTGATTCTCTTGCCTCAGCCTCCTGAGTAGCTGGGATTATAGGCACCCACCTCCATCTCCAGCTAATTTTTTGTATTTTTAGTAGAGATGGGGTTTCACCATGTTGGCCAGGATGGTCTTAAACTCTTGACCTCAGGTGATCCACCCGCCTCAGCCTCCCAAAGTGCTAGGATTACAGGCGTGAGCCACAGTACCCAGCTTTTTTAAAAAAATATTTTTAATAGAGATGGGGTCTTGTCATGTTGCCCAGACTGTTCTCAAACTCCTGAGCTCAAGCAGTCCACCCACCTCAGCCTCCTAAGCTGCTGAGATTACAATGTGAGCCACTGTGCCCAGTCAACACATACATCTTGAGAGGCTTCATGCTTAAATTCAGTCTCCTGAATATATGTTACAGCAGCAAATGACATGAGAAGGGTTAAAAAATTCTTGCCCTATAGGAGTGACAGCAGTCAAGGCAGTATAAGGGCCTATTAATTTTCTTTCCCATGGCCTCCAGGATGTAGCTCTTAGCTAAGAGCAGGAGTTCAGTCGTTTTTAGTCTCTTGAGTGCAGGTTTTTAGGGCCATAATGTACTGACCCATTTTCTGCCTGTGTGATTGGGTTTCTGCTGCCCTGCCAGTTCCTCTTTGGCATCAGGTGATCTCTGTAGCACTCTCTTGCTGTCCAAATTGCTGTGTGACCAGGTTAGAAAAGAGTTGCTTTTAGAGGAAGTTGGCCACCTCACAAAACAGGTACCTCATAGCCAAATGGCCTAAGACACCATCATGACAAGGCTTATATAAATAGTATTGTTTGATTATTGATGGGAGAACTATAAGGCGATCTAACATGTCTAATATGACTTCTAACATATCTAATATTTAGCCCAAGAACTGATTTAAAGTCTGCTAGGAGGGTGTATAAGAGTTTTGTACCTGCCTAAGAGTAGCTGTCACTTCATTCCCTCCCTGGATACATACATGTACACATATCCGCACATGCATGCACATACTCTTACTCCTTCTGCCCTAGATGAAGGGGAAGGGAGCCTGTCTTAAGAAAAAGCTTGCAAAGGAAACAAATGTAGCTTTACTCTGAGTCAGTAAAGCCTAAAGCAGTAAGTACCTGGATGCCTCACATGGAGTGGTTCTGGTGTTCCAAACACCAGTACTGTCCCTGAGGGACCCTTGCCCTTGGTTTATAAGCTACTGTATAGAAAATACCTTTGTGATTGTAGAGCCACTGGGTGTGGCAGAACCATTTGTAGTCAGCTGCACTATTCCCGAAGGAGCACAAGACTGGCAAGTAGAAACTGGGAACCAGCCGAGGCCTAATTGTAAGAAGCCCTTTAACTACATTACTGTCTGTAAGAACTTCACAGTTAGGCAGTTGGGACCTGGAAGGTGATATCTTATCTCTTCATTAGCCATTTATTCTCCCCCAGAATGTTTTGGAAAATTAAGACTAAGAAAAATGCATTTGTTCCAGGCAAATGGATTGGACTGAATCAACTTAGATACTTCCTTAAGTTGATACTCTCACCTCAGGCATCCAGCCAAAGTCAATCTTTGTTTCCTACTAAGAAAGCACAATTTTTTTCTAAGATAGAGGGAGTTTGTGACCAAATATCTATCAGTTACACAGATATCCGCCCCCCCCCACACACACACGAGTGTCTCCTGTACTTGACTCCAAGGATGAAGGAACATTAGTAAGGAGGAATTTCTGACCTAGAAGGTACGTACAGTCTTGTTGGCAAATAACTAAAAAGTAGTGCACAGCATCTTATAATTGTTTAGCTACATAGACTACAAGTTTTCAGAGCAGGAAAGATCACTGTAGGCCAGGGTAGATAGGCTTCCTGGAGGAAAGCCCCTATTCCCTAAGAGTTCATCATATTCCCTCTGTGCCCCCAAAACACTTTGTCCCATTGTGCTGGTGTCCAAGTATGGTTCCGTCTGGGCTTGTGCTGTATTGTAAAAATAACTAACCTTTTTGGACTGTAGGATAAGACCACTATCCTTTGGTTTTCCTTATGAGGAATGGGTATTCCCAGTGTCAATTGGCTTGAGACAAGAAACTAGGAACACAGGGGAAATAACTCCCTATATTTCTGGGCTGTGCTTTCTTGCGTCTGTACTTTAAGGAGGTTTTGAGGATACTTCCAGGTGGTGAGAACAAAGGACTTTTGTAAACTCTAGAGGAGGGCTGGGAATATAGGGGATCTTGAGTTGAAGACAAGTAAGTGAGTCTTATGAACCAGACTGTCCAATTTGAGATACTGTTTGTGTTCATTGCCCTTTTATCATCTCTGAGATTGTTTTTGCTGAAGTTTTGTCTCATTGTAACTGTATTGTAGGAATAAGGGAGAGGAGTGTATGTCTACCTAGGCCAGAGAAGCCCCACCCAGGATACCTGTGTGGTGGTGGCAGTGGCCTTAAGCATGAAAAGTCCCAAGGGAGAAACAAGGCTAAAAGGGACAGTAGAGGGCTCTGAGGTTTCCAGATTATCTCTTCATAGTCCGTCTTGGGTCTGTGTTTGATTTCTTTTTTTTTTTTTTTTTTTTTTTTTTTTTTGAGACGGAGTTTCACTCTTGTTACCCAGGTTGGAGTGCAATGGTGTGATCTCGTCTTACCACAACCTCCACCCACTGGGTTCAGGCAATTCTCCTGCCTCAGCCTCCCGAGTAGCTGGGACTACAGGCACGCGCCACCATGCCCAGCTAATTTTTGTATTTTTAGTAGAGATGGGGTTTCACCATGTTGACCAGGATGGTCTCGATCTCTTGACCTTGTGATCCACCCGCCTCAGCCTCCCAAAGTGCTGGGATTATAGGCATGAGCCACCGCGCCCGGCCTCTGTGTTTGATTTCTTTAAGGACAGTATTAGGTTTACTTATATTTTAGTATTGTACACTTCATATTACTTGATTGTTCTGTCTGTATCTCCCACCAGGATGGAGTTTCTCAAGTGCTCCTCTTATTTACATTTGTTTGCTTAGCACCTAGCACAGAGCCTATGAGAGTAGGGGCTTCCTGGGCCTATTTCAGAGATGGGCTTGATAGCAAAGAGGCCAAAATGCTTGCTCCAGAACTGAGATTCTGGGTCCCAGGCTCAGTTTTGTCCCGCTCTCTGAATGACTTCAGTGCCCTTGGGACCTCCATGCTCCCAGTTTGTAAAATAGATCCTGTCCTTGACTTTGCAGGAGTGATCGGTCCACACTGCTCAGACCAGAGCTGACAGGAGGGATTTAAAGTAGAGGTAACATGTTCCATGTGGGTAAACCACGACAGAGAGAAGTAGATGCCTTTTTCCAAATTATCCTGAGCCTGTGGTAGAAGCAAAAAGATCCCTAGTTTCCCATCAGTGTGCCTCCTGCAAATTGCCTTCATAAGATTCATGTCAGCAGCTACTGCAATAATGCTCTAACAGTAAAATATCTGTCAGATATAGCTGTTCAGTCTAATTTTGTAATTACGTCTAAGAAACAGCCTGAAACAGATTTTTGCAGTGGCAAGGCTAAGAATTTACTTGGAAGTGGGAGGCAGTGTGGCTTTAAAAATATTCAGCTCATGAGCACTATGAAGCAGTACCAATAACCACACATAGGCTTTATCAGTAGCTCTAGGAGTAACCAGTACACATATACCCAAGCCTTGGCTCTTAGGGGCAGCTGAGAAAGTAATTTATTTCTGCTTAATACCATTACTGCCGAGCATCAGGAAAGTACTATTGATTGTCTGTGGTTACTATTGGGAATGAGTATGAATTACGAATTGCACCTTTAGCTCTCAGTTGTTTTCTGTTGTTATTGTTGACTGTATAGAAGCCACTTAGGTGATTTCATTAGAATGAAAAGCCTATTCAGCTATGGTCTTGGGCTATGCCACACAACTAGGAATAGAAAATGCCAATTTTCAGAGTGAGGAGAGCATAAATTAGGCAAGTTAAATGCTGGAGGGATGTAGAGAATGACTGTTAGTATTCCTTGCAGTTAATTTTTATAATGAAAACCATCAGCAACTTCTGGGAATTATTATTATTATTTTTTGAGACGGACTTTTGCTCTTGTTACCCAGGCTGGAGTGCAATGGCGCGACCTCAGCTCACCGCAACCTCCGCCTCCTGGGTTCAGGCAATTCTCCTGCCTCAGCCTCCTGAGTAGCTGGGATTACAGGCACATGCCACCGTGCCCAGCTAAATTTTTTTTTTTTTTTTTTGCATTTTTAGTAGAGACGGGGTTTCACCATGTTGACCAGGATGGTCTCGATCTCTTGACCTCATGATCCACCTGCCTTGGCCTCCCAAAGTGCTGGGATTACAGGCTTGAGCCACCATGCCTGGCCTGTGGGAATTATTTATGCCAAGCTATTAGAGGGCACAATATTGGGGAATCCAATCTTTACCTTCCATGGGCTCTACTCTAGATGTAGAGACATTTAAATCAGCAGGTCATTACATAAGAGCTATGGTAAAGGTATGGGATCACATGGTGAGATTGAAGGCAAGGGATGGGAAACATCACACCAAAATAGATAATCTTCTAAGAGACTTGAAATATAGCAGTCCCTGAGGCATTTAGGAGTCCGGCAGTTCAGTCACTGATCTCCCTGTGCTATGAAAAGAACCTCTTAACTGTTCAGTCTTTCAGTAGAATCAGTCTTTTCCTGCCTGATCCTAACTAGGTTTATGGAGTGAGTTTGTTGGAGGTGAGGAGAAAGAGGTGATGCCACACTGAAAGTGTTTTTGTTGCAGAAACAGCTATAGAGTGAACATGAATTAATAGACTTGGCCTTTCTCCACTCAGGTGGTTTTATTCAGTGTTAATACTGACTATGCAGCTGTTCCAGGACACCTTAGGAACTTCTCTCAGGTGTCTGATCTGGCCCAGTTCTGAAAAATTTGTGTTGGTTTCCAGGAAATGCATCCATGGCTACCCTTTTGAGTCTCTTGTCAGCTCAGTCCTCACTATGGAGAGTGGAATGTGTTATTATTGTATACATTTGACACATGCTTTTTTTAATTTTAATTTTTATTTTTGAGACAGAGTTCCTCTATCACCCAGGCTGGAGTGCAGTGGTGCAATCTTAGCTCACTGCAACCTCCACCTCCTGGGTTCAAGTGATTATCCTGCCTCAGCCTCCCAAGTAGCTGGGATTACAGGCGCCTGCCACCATGCCTGGCTAATTTTTGTATTTTTAGTAGAGATAAGGTTTCATCATGTTGACCAGGCTGGTCTTGAACTCCTGACCTCAGGTAATCTGCCCACCTCAGCCTCCCAAAGTGCTGGAGTTACAGGCATGAACCACCACACCCAGCCTGACACATGCTTTTAAAAGAAGCCTAGTTGCTTTAGTCATCAGACCGAACTTTAACACACTTTTTTGCCAAGCTCCTTCTGGGTACCTGTGCTAGGTTACAGATACAGAAACAAATGAAATCATTCCTTGCCCTTAAAGAGGCAAACATGTAAGTCATTGCTGCAGTGTGATATAATGGAGATGAGGACAATGAGGAATGGGAACCAGGCAGCAGCAGTGCCTGGGCTGCTTTTTTTTTTTTTTTTTTTTTTTTAAATTTTTTTATTGCATTTTAGGTTTTACATGTGCAGAACATGCAAGACAGTTGCATAGGTACACACATGGCAGTGTGTTTTGCTTCCTTTCTCCCCTTCACCCACATTTGGCATTTCTCCCCAGGCTATCCCTCCCCAGCTCCCCCTCCCCCTGGGCTGCTTTTTGAAACTGAAAAGGTCACCTCTTGCCTCAGGGAAATCTGACTGGCCCTCTCTTATTTCTTACTGTAGGCAGGGGTACATAGGTGACATATCTGAGCTGCCACTGCCTCACAGGCTGGTGCCATAGTTGGGGCGTTGGCTAATAGGCTGGCCTAGGGCCCATCTTCTTACAGGCAGTCAAAGTCAGGGCGCCGGGGATGCTGAGCCAGCAGGACTGATGAGAAAGCCAAAGCCCAGGAGAAGCTTAAGGACTGTCCTGCTTGGAAGCCAGAGATGATGCATGTCTACCTGTGATCCAGGGTAGAAGTAATGAAATCACAGGCTCCTTCCAGCTTGGGGAAGGGGAATAGTGTAATCATGTCAAGGCCAGAGTAAGGGATTGATTTGTACCTGATGGGAGTAAGCAGGAGGTGACTTGGCCATGTCTTAGTAACTAGATGCCAAAGCTGGCAAGGAAGAGGGAGGGCTGGTTTGGGTCAGATGGGGCCTTGTTGGCTCCAGAAGTGTTTCTGTGAGCCAAGGATCCCTGCTTTTATGCTATTCTGAAGGAAGGGGGTGGGGTGAGGTGCCTCTTGAGTCAGAGTGGTGTAGGGCTATTTTGAAAGCAGCTATTTGGGGAGAGCTGGTTGCTGCTTTTTGTTTATTTGTAGGTCATTTGGGTTGACCTGAAGACAGCATTTGTTGAGTGAGCATGCTCTCAGCCTATTAATTGAAAGCTGTGAGGAAGCAAGGCCCAAACCAGAACTTGCTCCTGAGGGCTTCATAGCTGTTCTGCTAGACTGTAAGAGGAAGTGGCATAGAGGAGGAGCTAAAGGAGTTGAGAGGGAGAGAGAAAGATGAGGTCATGGCTAAAAAGATAGCTTGCCTTAAAAGACAAAATTTTCTTAGGTGAAAAGGATAACTGGGAGAATATTTCAAATGGAAGGGAACAATTTAAGCAAAGGCAAAGATTCAGGTTTGGTTAAGTCAAGCTTGTCTGTGACAACTCTGGATGAGGATATGTGCATAGGGGCACCAGGAGCAGGGGCACAGTGGCTAGGCTAGTTGGATGAAGCCAGATCATAGTCTTTTAATACCAGAAAGGAGGTTGGTTGTGATCCTGTCAACAGTGAAAGTTAGTGTAGGCTTAGACACTTGTCTTGTGCTTATATCAACTTGGCAAGGGTTGCACTTTGGGTCTTTGTATTCTGAGGAAGGAGGAAGGGAGGACACAGGCTTGATAGTCCATTGTTCTCACCTATATTGCAAGCTCCAAGTCGGCAAGGGTATTCGTTTTGCTTATCAAGCTATTTCTAGCACTTGAAACTATGTCTAGCACTTAGAAAGCAAGGACGAGTAATTGTGTTTGGAATATGAAGTAAATCCTAGGGCAGCCACCCAAGACCCAGGACTAACTCATCTCACCTGGCTGTCTTAGAGCTCCTGATCTGACCAGGGGGGTCAGCTTAAGAGTGTGGTTCACCAAGGAGCAGAGGAAAAGGTGCCCCATAGTAGAAAGGGAGGAATGGGTGGTAACTCTATGGCTGGCTGATCCCCACTTCTGAGCCACATTATTTTCTCTTCCTTCCTGGGAACTCTAGAACTGCCTGATAAAGAGGGATGAGAATGGTTACTCTGCAGTGGTAGCTGACTTTGGCCTGGCTGAGAAGATTCCCGATGTCAGGTGTGTAGCCCTAATGGATGCTGGGGTCCAAGGACAGGGGGCTGAAGTGAAGGGAAAATTCTAGCCTCCTCCCCAGAGCTGTGACTTGGCCACAGCTCAACCTCAGCTCCCTAAATTTGGTCAGTTCTAGTCTGTACCCATCCTTGGGGCAGAGGAATCCCCAATGGTCAAAAGATTCCATTGCATCAGCCAGTGGCAAGCTGATTTTCTGTATAATCTCCTCCCACAGCATGGGGAGTGAGAAGCTGGCCGTGGTGGGCTCCCCATTCTGGATGGCACCTGAGGTTCTCCGAGGTGAGCCCTATAATGAGAAGGTAAGTTTGGAGGATCTCAAGGTCTGATTCTTTTTTTTTGAGATGGAGTCTCCCTGTAGCCCAGGCTGGAGTGCAGTGGCACAATCTCAGCTCACTGCAACCTCCACCTCCCACCTTCAAGCAATTCTCCCACCTCAGGTTCCCAAGTAGCTGGAATTACAAGCATGCGCCACCACGTCCAGCTAATTTTTGTATTTTTAGTAAAGAAGGTGTTTCACCATGTTGGCCAGACTGGTCTCAAACTTCTGACCTCAAGTGATCTGTCCTCCTCGGCCTCCCAAAGTGCTAGGATTACAGGCGTGAGCCACCGTGCTCAGCCCTGATTCTCCTTAGAATCTACTCTTAGCAGAGTGTCCAAGATGTTCCTACCAAGAGCAGGGCTGGTACCTGGCAGCTGCCCAGTGACTGACTTGGATGAAATATGGGCAATATGACCCAGGCCTGGGCTGTTAGATATGGGCAGGGTGCGGGTGGGGAGCCCAGATACTCTATCCCTCAACCCAGTGAGAGGGAAACCAAAGTCTGACTACCCTCTAGGCGGATGTGTTCTCTTATGGTATCATCCTCTGCGAGATCATCGCCCGCATCCAGGCCGATCCAGACTACCTTCCCCGCACAGAGGTGAGCTGCAAGCATGGGGATTGTTGCCACTGGGATGGGGCTAGTTTGAAGCAATGGAACTGTTCTGTCCCTGGGGTGGACTTGGTGGAACTGTCAGTTGCTGGTTGCCAGGGGCAGCTCCCAGGCTCTTCTGAGGAGGCTAGGATGGGTGGGGGGATTAATGACCTGTCTACCTATGCTTTCCATCCCATCCACAGAATTTCGGGCTGGACTATGATGCTTTCCAGCACATGGTGGGAGACTGTCCCCCAGACTTTCTGCAGCTCACCTTCAACTGCTGTAATGTGAGTGTTTTTTTCCCTCTGCTTTTCATCAGGGCTGACTGAACCCTTTTCACCAGGTTAGGACTGAACAGAGAAGCTGCTAATTAGCTTCATGAGGGACTTCATTTTCACTGTAGTAACAGCAACCACACCTTCTTCTCCCTCTGGCTCTTAGCTAAGGTATTCAGAGCCCTGGACCAAGCAAAGAAAAAAACTGCTTTGTATTATCGGGTCCTCAGCCAGTAGGTTAGACCCATCACTCCTTGCCTTGGGTGTTGATGGAACTCTGGACAGGTTTTATTGTTGGATGGACTGTGGATCCGACTGGTCCTGAGGCACATGAGAAAGGCTTTTTTTTTTTTTTTTTTTTAAGACAGTCTTGCACTGTTGCCCAGGCTGGAGTGTAGTGGCGTGATCTCTGCTCACTGCAATCTCTGCCTCCCAGGTTCAAGCTATTCTCTTGCCTCAGCCTCCCAAGTAATGGGGATTACAGGTGCACGCACCATGCCCAGCTAATTTTTTTGTATCTTTAGTAGAGACAGGGTTTCACTATGTTGGCCAGGCTGGTCTTGAATTCCTGACTTCATGATCCACCCGCCTTGGCTTCCCAAAGTGCTGGGATTACAGGTGTGAGCCACCGCGCCCGGCCAAGAAAGGTTCTTCTTGGCCTTCATGTATATAGCTCTGGGGTTGGACCTTACCTGTTAAGATCAAGGTGGGCTTTGTTCAGATACCTCCCAGAAACACATTAGGAGCAGAACTCAAGAACAGAACCAACTAATAGGAGCATACTTTTGGAAGGTTCTGTGACAAGGTGATAAGACAAACACCAAGCCAGGCATGGTTGCTCACGCCTGTAATCCCAGCATTTTTGGGTGGATCACCTGAGGTTAGGAGTTTGGGACCAGCCTAACATGGTCCCAAAAAGACACTAAGACAGGGAGGATGGTACTCAAGTGTTTTCCCTGACCTGAGCTATAGGGATCACCTCCATTGTCTGGGGCCTTAAAAAGGTCTCTTAGCTGCACATCTGAATCTTAAAAGATGCCAGAAATAGACTTTCATTTTTGGGGTGGGAGATGGAGAGTAGGGCTAATGGTTGTTGTGGATGCCTACAGATGGACCCCAAACTGCGCCCATCCTTTGTGGAGATTGGGAAGACCCTGGAGGAAATTCTAAGCCACTTACAGGAAGAAGATCAGGAGAGGGATAGGAAGCTGCAGCCCACAGCCAAGGGTAAGAGATTAGACCCAGGAGCCCAACCTAACCCTAAGGGAATTAGGATGTGGGGCCTTCCCCTCTTAGGGGATCCCAGGTCCAGAAACAAAGGGGAGGGGAAGGAGATGACACAGAAAGTACTGGCCTCTTTAAGAGCTGTGGCTTGGCATACTGCTTCCCATCTCTGAGTCTGTATCTTCACTGGTGAAACGAGATAGTGGTACCTACACTTTGCTTTCATGAGTGAAAACATTTTGTGGTAAAATGCTGATTTGTTATGACTAGTAAGAGTTATCCAGACTCGACTATTCCTTAGGACTCTTGGAGAAAACACCTGGGGTGAAGCGACTAAGCTCACTGGATGACAAGATCCCCCACAAGTCACCATGCCCGAGACGTACCATCTGGCTGTCTCGAAGCCAATCAGACATCTTTTCCCGAAAGCCCCCACGTACAGTGAGCGTCTTGGACCCATACTACCGGCCACGAGATGGTGCTGCCCGCACCCCCAAAGTCAACCCTTTTAGTGCTCGCCAGGACCTCAGGGGGGGCAAGATCAAGTTTTTTGACCTGCCCAGCAAGTCTGTCATCTCTCTGGTATTTGACTTGGATGCACCAGGGCCGGGAACTATGCCCCTGGCTGACTGGCAGGAGCCCCTGGCCCCACCTATTCGCCGGTGGCGTTCCTTGCCTGGTTCACCTGAGTTCTTGCATCAAGAAGCTTGTCCATTTGTGTGCCGGGAAGAATCGCTATCTGATGGGCCCCCACCACGCCTAAGTAGTCTCAAGTACAGAGTAAAAGAGATCCCACCATTCCGGGCATCTGCCCTACCAGCTGCTCAAGACCATGAGGCTATGGACTGCTCCAGTCTCCAGGAAGAAAACGGTTTTGGGTCCAGGCCCCAGGGGACCAGTCCATGCTCTGCAGGTGCTTCTGAGGAGATGGAGGTAGAAGAAAGGCCAGCAGGCTCAACTCCAGCTACCTTCTCCACCTCAGGCATAGGCCTGCAGACCCAGGGAAAGCAGGATGGGTGAGGGGAGTTTAGTTCCTGTCTAACCTTGGGGATGGACCTTCAGCTGAAACCATATGGCCCCGTAAGTGCACAGCCTTGACTCTTCCCTGGAGCCCACAGAGCAGGCAGGCTAGGCCAAGCCAGGCTCAACTTCTGGGCTCCCAGTGCCCATTGGCTGTGTATGATGGGGAGGCAGCAGTGAGAGGCCTTCCTAGTTATGGCCAACAGCTGATACCAAGCCTCTGAAATCCAGCAAGGAGGTCTGCCTCCCACTGACCTCCCAGTGCACTTCCCTAGACAGGACCAGAGGATGTCTAGTTCTAGGCTGGACTGGCAGGCAGCTATTACCCTGGTTCTTTCCCCACCCCAGATCTGTCTCTTGCCCTTTCTTGGGGCATCTAAGCTACTGAGTGGAATATGGAGCTGACCAGGGGGCCATAATGGGCATGGCTGTTTCCCAGACCTGAAGATTGGGGTGCTTCTTGCCAGTATGTCTAAGACACTTGAGTAATTGCTGTTTGCACTGACTGCATGGTCAGACCACGTCACTACATTTCTATGTAAGGGGAGGGTGAGGCAGCGTGGTGGTCATGGCTCTTAGCTAACCTATTCAAAGACCTTTTCCAGTTGATTAATCTATTTTCATATTTATAAAGAAGTCTTAATGTTCTGCCCCGTAAGACTTTCAAACTTGTGGTTGGGAGTGGGGCTGGTTTTGTAGGCCCTAGGGCCTGCTTCTATGTATTTGTCAACATGTGATATATTCATTTGGTTAAATGGTTTATACATGGACTGATTTTCTTCCCTTCCTGCTATGGCTGGAGCTTTGGGAACAGTCTTTCCTTACAGAGCTGCAATAAGAAATAACCAAAGATGAAGCTGGTCAAATATTTTCATAACTTGCTTTTGTTGATTTTTTTTTTTTTTTTTTTTTGCAAAACTTTCCCAAGACATTTTCAGACTTAAAAATAAAGTCGGTGTTACAGGTGCTGGTCAGCCTTCTTACTTGTACCTCAGACACTGAGATAAAGGAGGAGGTCCAGGGCAATGCATTGATATCTTCCAGGACACTCCTCGTCCCCTAAACTCAATAGTAGTTGAGTATGACATTTACAGGCTAGAGAGACCCAAAATATGTTACACCTGAGTGCTAGGTGGAAGTTGCATCAGCTGCTGCCCCAAGCGAGCTTCATCTTCTGATTGTGGGCTTTGGAGGAACGGGAGAACTGGCTCTTGGCCACTGTGAGGGGTACAGCTTTGCCACTCAAATATACCTTATTATGGCATTCAGGGAGCCAGGGTCCAGAGCTACAGGGCTGGGGTCCCTGGCTCACTACCACATAGGCCATCACATAACCTGTCATAAAGGCATCAAAACCAGCTCGGTGCAATCCATCCCCAGGCACTGGGTTAGGACTGGCTTGGCTCCCTGGCACTTCTGAGGTAGCTGTATCAGCTATTTCAGGCCTTGCTGCCTTAATCCCTATCTCTAAGTCATTTTTGTTGCCTTGCTTGGAGTGAGACAGGTTCCTAGTTTCATCCTCGGCCACTTCCTGCTCAGTTTCTTCAGCCTTGAGGCTATCCCCACGGACCTGCTTCTTGGGAGGACCATCCTTAGCTTCTTCCCCAGAGGTCTGTGTCCCCCGTAGGTTCAACAAAGCCCTCTTCCGTTTTTCCCGCCGTCGCCGCCGTCGACGCTTGTCCTCTGCTGCAGCCTCATCAGTGTCAATGATAAGGTCAATGTCATGGGACTGAGGACACTGTGGTCCCAGGGAGCACCAGCCATAAGCCTAGGTGTGGGAAAGAGGCTTAGAAAGGGGCTCCAGGCATCAGAACCTCCCCTCCCAAGAAATAGGTGGGTGCTCTCACCGAGAAGTTGTCACAGATGCTGGTGGCATGAGGACGGTGGGTTGCTGGGGGCAGGCAGCAGCGGTAATCAATATGTGCCCTCATGCTGGAAGGATAGTTGCAGAACTCCAGGGTAAGGTGTGGGCTGCCAGCTGCCCGCTGCTTCCCATTTTCCCGTTCACTGCAACAGCGCAAGAGGGTAATGGTCCACTAGCATATAAGCTCCATAAGAGCAGGTTTTTTGGGTCTGTTTTGTTCACTGCTGAATCCTCAGCACCTAAAACACTGCCTGGGCACATGGTAGGAGCTCAATAAATATCTTAAGTGAATGAAATAGACTCGTATCAGGTCCCACCCCTTTCCCTCAACCATTTCCTCACCATTTCCGGAAGGCATATTCTAAGTAGGAGGCTACGAAGCGTGCATGAAACTCAGCAGCATATTTGGTGTCATAAATGCCTGCCGGGAACATCTCACACAGGTCAGCGGTGAAGGTCCCCAGATTCTCAGGGAGGTGTGCATAGAAGTTCTGGTACAGGAACACCAAGTCTATAAGGCCATTGTGTAGCACCAGGGGCCGGCGGGCTCGGATCAGCTCCAGGAATAGGGTCCGTACTGACTGGCTCTGGCTCTCATCCCCCTAGGTGAAAATAAAGGAGTCAATGAGAAGGACAGAGTTCCCCAGGGAGCCTCTTCTGCTGGGCACTTACCAGGCTCCCCCACCTGGAATGCTCTCTTTCTCTCTACCTAACCCAACTCTACCCACCTTCCTCATACCAGTCTTGTTTCCCAAGCCCTGCCATTAGTGATTCCCCATACTCCCTAAGAAGCATATTCTCCCCAGGCAACCAGCCTAGAGTAGGAAGAAATCAAGTCACAGAAAGGGCAGGCCTCGAGGCGAGGGAGGCTAGAGGCTTACCTTGTCATTGCCCTTATGGTAGGGGATGCCCTGGGCATATTGCTGATTGAAGTTGAAGCCATGCTGTATCAGGAACTGCACAGACTTTGGTTCTATGACATACTCCTCCATGCACAACAGAGTGAGATTGAACACTTGAGCCAGATAGGAATGTTCACCCTGGGAGAAAAAGGAAGTCTGCTATATTGAGATTTGGAGGAGCTAAGCTACAAGGATGCAAAGGCTTAAGAATGATACAATGGACTCTGGGGACTCGGGGGGGTGGGGGGGAGAAGGGGTGGGAGGTGGGTGACGGATAAAAGACTACACATTGGGTATAGTGTACACTGTTCGGGTGATGGGTGCACCAAAACCTTAGAAATCACCACTAAAGAACTTATTCATGTAATCAAACACCACCTGTTCCCCATAAATCTATTGAAATTTAAAACAAACAAAAAAAACCTATCAAGTTAAAGGAGATTTGGGACAAAAAAACTTCATATCTGATGTTCTCCAGAATCTCTCTACCCTCCTCCCCACGGCCAGACGTAGGATAGGGGTGAGATCAGCCCATACCTTGTCTGGCTGCCGCTTGAAGCAGGCGAGGCCCAGAGAGAGGACAGAACGGGTCCTGGCAGCATGACACACGGCCTTGTAACGTTCCTCGATGCACCTTGGGGTTCGGTTTGGGGGTTACTGTGGCTGGGAGTTAGCCTCATGAAGGACCCAAACCACTCAGGTCTGTGACCCCACTCCCACCTCCACTCCACAGTTGACGGTGGGCACTAAAGAGAACAGGGCTTATACTTACTGGTTCAACAAACTCTTCCGGTCCCCAAGCCCACTCAGCTCCTGTGGGTAGGTAAAGGAAGGGCTGTGACAGACCCCCAGCACCAGCCCCTTCACATCCACCTGCCCTCCTTGTTTCCCAGTTCTCACCGTGTCCACAGCCACGAAATTTGCTGTCTTTATGGCTAGCAGGAGGGATGGCCACATCTCCTTAAAGTTGTTGCTTTGAACATCTACTACAGGAACCCGGACTATTAGCTCCTCCACAGATATTGTGCTCTTGCTGACACCACCTGGGGTAAGGAGAGTGATAGATGTTCATGCTTAAGGAAAGAGCCTAGGGGAACAGACACCCCCAAGCTAGGCCACGGTGATGGTGGTAGTTTCCATTGGTAGCTTTTCCCACAAGCCTTTGTATCCCACGCGTTCTACACACAGGACTCGGAGAGTGCCCTGAATTTGGGGAGAGGAAGCCTGGGTCTTCCAATGGCTCATACAAGCCTGGGAAAATTACTTCCCACCTCGCTGTCACAATCCGTAGAGGAGAAAGTTGGATTAGATGACCTTTGAGATTCTTTTTTTGCCATGTCCTGCAGGAAACATTTAGCAGGGCTTGAGGATCTCAGCTTCCTTAATATCCCATAGGGATCCATACTACTGTTCTCATAGTGCCCCAGAGCCACAAACAGGCCCCAGAGCCACAAACAGTTCCCAGAGCCTGACAGCGCCCAATTCCAGAGCTCCCAATACGTCCTACCTTCCTTTGCACCACCACGCCCAATCCACTCCACTGAACTGAATCACAACTATTATTACTAACCGTTATGAGCTCCACACTACATCTCCCGCCATGCCTCCATCGGCCCCATACTCCCAATGCTCCAGGGCTCCAGGCTTTTGCAGCCCGAGCCGCGGTGCACATCGGGACTTGTAGTCTCCTCGTGGCCCAGTTCAGGCGCAAAGCGTAATCCTCTGAAGCCCGAGAAGTCTCTAGAACTATGAACTCGAGGCCTTCCCCTCTCCCGAGAGCAGAGGCTTTGAAGGCTACCCCTGGGAAGCCGCTCACCGTCGGAGGCTGCGGGAGCTGAAGCTGCGCCATCGTCACTGTCGGCGGCCATGACACCGCTCGTCTCCCGCCTGAGTCGTCTGTGGGTACCGAGGACTTCCGCTCCGTCTCCCTGCGCGGCTCAGACAGTCGGGGATGGGGCGGGGTCTCGCCGTCAGGTCGTCGAGGGGTCGGACTTCCGTTCAGACCTCCCGTGTCCTGCACGGGGAAGCAGCCAGGCGCGCGCTAGTTGCCTATTGGCCGGTGCAGCCGCTTCGCCGCCGGGGTGGACTCGAACCACGCCCCCTGGAGTGCGCCGGAAAACCAGGCGTGCTAGAGCGCGCGGGAGGTAAGCTTACCCGCACTCGTTGCGGAAACGCGGGCCCTTGGTGTCCTGCTGTCTTCATCAGCGTGGGTCGGGGGTGGGGTGTGTTGGGGTAGCTGGGTTTGGGCTTTCCAGAAAAGGTGACGCTGCCTGAGTTGAGCTTAAAACACGCGCAGGAGTTAGGCTAGGAGAGGGTCGTGTGGGGGAAAGAGGGTGTTCTGGGCACCGGTACATTCCGAGAAAGGATGGAGAGATCAGTGCTCGCCAGAAAGTGAAAGAGGCGAAGAGTATGCCATTAGAGAAGTCTGAGGAGGGGGTAGGGCAACCGACTAGTAGGGAAGCTTTTGAAATAATCCAGTCGACCGGGCGCGGTAGTTCACGCCTGTTATCACAGCACTTCGGGAAGCCGAGGCAGGCGGATCACCTGAGGTCAGGAGTTTGAGACAAGCCTAACCAACATGGAGAAACCCCGCCTCTACTAAAAATACAAAATTAGCTGGGCATAGTGACACATGCCTGTAATCCCAGCTACTTGGGAGGCTGAGGCAAGAGAATCGCTCTCCACCTGGGAGGTGGAGGTTGCGGTGAGCTGAGATCGAGCCATTGCACTCCAGCCCGGGCAACAAGAGCGAAACTGTCTCAAAAAAAAAAAAAAAAAAGGAAAGAAGTAATCTAAGTGATAATGTGAACTTGAATTAAGGCTGGCAGTATGGATGGCGAGGAAGGGACAAATTGTGAAGCAGCTAGGTGGTTTAGTCGACCTAGAGGGTGACTGAACTTGAAAGAGGTTCCTATTGGAGACTAGTCCATCCCCAAACACTCTGATTCCCATCCACCAACTCTCCTTGGTTACTCATTGTTTATAGCTCATCTTCAGCTTCTCTCAACTGAGTCCATTTCATCATTATTCAGAACTGCTTGGGCCAGGCACAGTGGCTCATGCCTGTAATCACTTTAGGAGGCCGTGCTGGGAGGATCACTTGAGCCCAGGAGCTCAAGACTAGCCTCAAAGAATAAATCCGTGAGATGAAAAAAGAAGGAGAAGGAGGAGGAGGGAGAGGGAGAGGGGGAGGCTGAGGCTGAAGAAAAAGAAAAAGACTAGCTTGGGCAACAGAGTGAAACCTTTTCTCTACAAAAAAAAATTTTTAAATGAGTTGGTCATAGTGGTGCGTGCCTGTAGTCCCAGCTACCTGGGAGGTTGAGGCAAGAGGATGGCTTGAGCCCAGAAGGTCGAGGCTGCAGTGAACCATGATCTCGCCATTGCACTCCAGCCTGGGCAGCAGAGCGGCAAAGTGAGGGACACACTGTCTCTAAAAAAAAACTGTTTGGGTTTCTCCCATCCTAAAAAGGGAAACTCTTTTGACTATCCCCCATCGCATTAATTCATTTAACAAGTATTTATTATGTATAGTTTACCTGGCACTGACTGGACACACACCAGTCAACAGAAGAGAATCAGTCCTTGCACTCATGTAGTTTTTTTACAGTCAAGTTCAGGAAGCACACAATGATGGAAAGAATCAAAGTAATGTGAAATTACATGGATGTAAGAGCTACAAGGCAGAAGTACATGATAGGATAAGATGGGGGCAGGGGGGGATGTGATTTGGACATTTCAGTCAAGACCTGAAAAATCATTAGATGTGAGGTAAAGCCTAAGAGTCCAAACAGAGGAAATGGGTTGTGTGAGGCCCCAAGGTGGACAGACACACTTGAGGTGTTTAAGCAGCTAAATTCATAGTTGGCTAGAGCACAGTGAGAGGGGATGAGGTGGATAGTGCCCGGATCATCATACAGCCCACAAGGCTGCTGTAAGAGTACTGCCTTCTTTTATTTTATTTATTTATTTTTTTTTTTGAAACACGTTACAAATGCTAGCTGAGGACAAGAGTACTGCCTTCTAAGAGAAGGGTATGGCAGCCAAATCCCTCCAATGACCTATAAAGATAATTTGTGACCCTCCCCTCCCCTCACCATCTGCTGTACTTCTCTGACCTCTTTTACCACTCAGCCCCATCTCATTCCATTCTTTTTTTTCCCTTTTATTTTATTTATTTATTTATTTATTTTTTTAAGGCTAGTCAAGTGAAGCAGTGGGAGTAGAGAAGGAACAAAGAAATCTGTAACTGGTCAAGTGGTTTTTTATTTATTTATTTTAAATATAAAGATGGGGTTTCACCATGATGGCCAGGCTGGTCTTGAACTCCTGACCTCAGGTGATCCACCCACCTCAGCCTCCCAAAGTGCTAGGATTACAGGTGTGAGCCACCGCACCCGGCCATCTCATTCCATTCTAACCACATTGACCTACTTACTGTAACACAGACATAGCAGGCACCCTCCTTGGGGCCTTTGCAATCACTTAGAATGCTTTGGGTCTACCTTGACCACAGTCTTTAAAATTGCAACATTATACCCCACCTTGGCACTCTTTTTCCCCACTTGCTCTAATTTTTGCTTTTTATGCTAATATTTATCATCTAACATCCTATGGAATTTACTTATGTTCATTATTCCTTTTCTGTCCCCATTAGAATATAAGCTCCCTGAGGGCGGGAACTTTTGGTGTTTTATTTACTGAAGTATGCCAAGTGCCTAAAACTGCTTGGGACATATTAGGGACTCCATAAATATTTCCTCAATCTTTTTTTTTTTTTTCTTTCTTTTTTTTTTTTTTTTTTTTGAGAAGGAGTTTCGCTGTTGTTACCCAGGCTGGAGTACAATGGCGCGATCTCAGCTCACTGCAACCTCTGCCTCCTGGATTCAGGCAATTCTCCTGCCTTAGCCTCCCGAGTAGCTGGGACTACAGGCACGCACCTCCATGCCCAGCTAATTTTTGTATTTTTAATAGAGACGGTGTTTCACCTTGTTAACCAGGATGGTCTCGATCTCTTGACCTCATGATCCACCTGCCTCGGCCTCCCAACGTGCTGGGATTATAGGTGTGAACCACCACGCCTGGTCCTGTTTTTTTTTCTCTAAGAGACAGGGTCTTGTTGAGCCCAGGATGGAGTGCAGTGGCATAATCATAACTCACTGCAGCCTTGACCTTCTGGGCTCAAGCTGTTCATCACTTCAGCCTCCAGAATAGTGGAATTATGGTGTTGAGCCACCATAACCAGCTTGCTCAACAATTTACTGTCCCACAGTAAAGGCCTAGAGTGTTTAAAAAAGAAAGAAAAATGAAAAAAGGAAGGAAGAAAAGAGAGAGGGAGAAAAGAAAGAAAATAAAAGAATATAATGGGGCGCCTGCAGGCGCCGTGGCTCATGCCTGTAATTCCAGCACTTTGGGAGGCCGAGGTGGGCTGACTGCTTTAGTTCTGGAGGTCGAGACTAGCCTGGGCAACATGGTGAAACACTGTCTCTAACAAAAATACAAAAATTAGCTAGTGTGCACCTGTGGTCCCAGCTGCTTGGAGTCGGGGTGGGGTATTGGGGTGGGAGGATTTCTTGAGCCAGGGAAGCAGAGGTTGCAGTGAGCCAAGATTTCACCACTGAACTCCAGCCTGTGTGACAGAGTGAGACCCCGTCTCAAAAAAAAAGAATGGGAAGCCATCGAAGGTTATAAGGAAGGAAGTGACATGATCCAGAAAAGGTTGCTTTCTCTTTGGAGAATGGATTGTAGAATGAATATGGAAGTAAGCAAATTTAGTGAAGGATGTTTGGCTATGAAGGGAAGGAGGGTGGGACTTGACTGTATACAAGCCAAGGGAAGAACTTCCCCCTTGCTCTCTGAAGATCTCCTGAAAAATCAACTCAAAAGGCAGATTAGCTAGAGAAAAGGCATACAAATGTATTAACATGCACACTGGAAGAACCACAAAGTGATTACCCATCCCCCTACAGAGTTCAGAAGTTTATATACTGTCTGGCAAAACATTATGGGAGGGGTAGAAGAGAAATTCTGTTTTTTGTTTTGTAGAGATGAGGTCTTGCTATGTTGTAGGCCTAGTCTCGAACTCCTGGGCTCAAGCAATCTTCCTGCCTTGGCCTCCCAAAGTACTAGGATTACAGGTCTGAGCCAGTATGTCCAGCCCTGTATGTTTAAGGAGATTGTGTTGAAGGGCCATAAAGGATTACTAGGGAGAATGGAATGGGGACAGAGATTAATTTATAAATAGTTCTCTTTGGAATTTGAATAATTATGAGAGGTAGATGATACCTCGTAAAAGGGTTTGTTCAGGTATGGTTTCGTGTTAGTCTTAGCAGGAAGGGAAGACAAAACAAGTATTCTTTTTAGTGGGTTTGGACTTTAGGCAGATAAAGAGTTCCAGACAACAACTTCATCCTGGCTTTGGGAGAGTCTGTGTGGGGTGGAAGGATTGAGGCTTCTTCAGTTCAGCATGTCAAAGTGCCATATTTTTGGGTATTGGTTTCTTTTTTTTGAGACAGAGTCTTGCTCTGTCTCTGTTGCCCAGGCTGTGCAGTGGCACGATCTCAGCTCCCTGCAAGCTCTGCCTCCTGGGTTCAAGCGAGCACATCCAGCTAATTTTTTTGTATTTTTAGTAGAGATGGGGTTTCTCCATGTTGGCCAGGCTGGTCTCAAATTCCTGACCTCAAGTGATCCACCTGCCTTGGCCTCCTGCAGTGTTGGGATTATAGGCCAGCCACCAAACCCAGCCTGGGGTATTGGTTTCTGAGCTCCAGCAGTTAGAAGGGATTAGAGGAGCAGGACCCTGAAGAGGTGGAAGTTGAGACAGTGCAAATGAAGGTAGATTTGAAGGGTTTTTTTCTCTGAAGGAGGAGTCAAGCTCTTTTGATGCAAATGAGCACATCCCGTAAAATCAAAGGTTTGGCGGGGGTGGGGGGTGGGGAGGGTTGATACAGGGGCTTA